GACTTTAAGCCTGAGTCCTCACACTGGCATAAACACACTGAAATTTTCATCTGACCACTACTTAAGGTGGGACCCAGTGATCCAGCAGTGGTGCAGGGGAGTTGGAGAAAGCCATTTAGCTGTGTATATGGAGGTGGTGCGCAGTGGCACGCTTGTTCTCTAAGTCTTCAGCTGCTTCCTGCATCTTTGCTTTCCTTTCTTTGAAAACTGAAATGCCCTCAGTGAAAACCAGCCTGTCCTTAAATCTTATGGCTCCAAAAAGCTGAAAATCTGCGCAGTGGCAATGAATCATAGGGCATAAGATAAAACTGGCAGTATTGGTGCTAGGCTTTGAAGTGGTTAAAATTTGGGCCAGTGTATCCAAGTGGTGTTTTGTAGCAGACAAGATGGTGACACAGTCACAGTCATCATGGTCACTTTATAGCTAGCACAATGCTGCTAAACTTCCAACCTTGCAGAAAATGATGTGCAGAACTCTGCCTGACTTTCACTAGAGATTTAGCCTTACACAACCTTGCTGAAGTCAATGAAGCCATGCAGAGGAGAGCTGCTCAGGTGCACTTACTTGCTTTAATGCTGGAAAATGACAGTGGGGGAAAGCTGGTAGGCAGCTTAAAAAGAAAAAAGAAAAAAAAAAAAGCCCAAATGGTGGGGCTCTGGGATGGGGGAGAGGAACAAATTGATGGAAGGAGCTGGTTGGGAGAAGAAAAACATGCCTGCGGGAGCTTGGCTGGGGACTGTCAATTGGTAGCTGGGTCTGAACACCAGCTGCGTAAAAGGTAATTGAAGAGCCTGCCCAGATATTGCTGGGGTGGAAGGCAGAGGGAATGGTACAGAGCTGAGCACTGTGCTGGCCTGCCCTTCTGGAAGGGCAGTGAGTTTCCCTGGATAATGCCCTGCTCTTCTCTGTGCTTGAAGTACGCAGAGCTCAAGTTCTTTGCCAATGTAGGAAGGGGCAGTCACATAAAAGGGTAGGAAAAGCAAAGTTATGTAACAGTATGGAACTGGTGGCCAAATGCAGGTGAAAGAGACTAGAGCTGCTATAGAGATGTAATGCTGAGAGACAAGAGACATGGAGTTGCTTATGTTGGAAAAAGGAGATATTGGGGAGGATGACATACAATAGGAAACTTAATCATTTTTCTCTAGAGGAAAAAGGATGAAAATGTTTGAAACCTCTTTGAATTTTACATCTTTGATTCAGCAGCTTGCAGATTTATCCTGCATAAGTTGCACAGTTCCATATGTAAGAATGAGGGAGGACTAATGGGGGGGAGGGAAGTAAGGCTTCTTGTACCCAGAAATCTGTGAAGTAGGCAGTAGCAGCAGAAGTAGCTTGCATAGTCCTCGTGCTGAATGAAGGAAGTGCTGCTGGGGTTTCTGGGCAGTCCTGGGAGCCCCTTTCTTTAATGCTCTTAAGCATCCCTTCCCTCTTTTGACTCCTAGGATTTAGTTAAATGCCTAATTGCTTTTAGCAGCCCTGAAATGTGTGGGCTTGAAATGTGTGTGCCAACTTTGGTGGCTGCTTCAGATGGAGACAAGTAATAAAAATTTCCCTAAAAAGAAAAAAAAAAAATCAGAAAAACCCACTAAAGGCCAAATAAAAGCTTTGAAATCTTCATTTCCTATGTCAGTATTTGTTTTTGGGGCAGCAGCTTTTGCTGTGCTGCGGTAGCACATTGCAGTCCTGGAATCCCAGTGATTAGAAACATGGCTGACCAGCGGACAGATGGTGAATGTTTTAGAATTGTCCATTTAACCCAAGGCAGCCCCACTGAATGCTTTTTAGCTCTTATATGTGTATTATTTGAATGTGTGATATCTTTGGCCTTTCCACGGTGTGCATGAATTACTTGCTTCCTATTGATGAAGCTGAGTGCATCTCGAGCGCCTGTTAACTTGCCTGCAGTGGCGTACTGGAAATTTCTGATTCAGAAATAGGTCTTCTATAAATGATTTAACATCAGGCCATTGAAATGCATTTGTGTTTTCCTTCTTACAGCTATTAAAGACTTAGAGAAAACATTTAGCACCAAATTAATGTTGCATTTTTGTTTTAATCCTGCAGATGGGGTTGATTTATATTTCAAAAATATGTGCTGCAGAGAGGAATTAAAATGTTACACATTTTGTTCAGTTGTACTTAATATTTTTTTTGCGCAAATATTTTCAGCTAGATGCTGTCATTTTAATGTGTTGTGTTTTCTTTTTCATTAACCGTTACGGTGCAACATTTCATCCTGCATGGTTTGTAGCTAGTTTGTATTCCTTTATTATTTGAAGGAGTTGTTTGAGGTCTGCAATAATTGGGAAGCTGCAACCAGGCGGAAGGTGCCAAGGCTCTCTTCCCTGTCTCTCCTCAAGGAGAGATGGCAAAGCAGAGCTGTGGCAGGCTGCCTGCAGTCTCCTGGGTGAGGCAGACCCAGCTGTGCTAATTGGAAGAGAAAGAAATGGTGCACTCTCACATGCAGATAGGAAAGAGTGAGATGGGATTAGATGGCAGAGCAGAGATTTTATACAATAGTGATGGCTCTGATACAATCTCCTTGGTTCTCCCTTGAGGATTATGTGGAGGTGAGCAGCCTTAACTCATTAGTATTTCCCTTTCCTCTTGCTCTTTGGCTGCTTGAGATCTGATGGCAGGATTGCTTGGATTTGGGGTTCTGTTCTGGAGGGGCAGCATAGCCTGAAGCCTGAGATGTTAAGTGATATGGCTCTTGTTGCAACTGAGATGTGACCTCAACTCAATACTTGGTTCTTCCTCCTCATTGTTAATTGCTCTTAGGGAATGAAAGCAACCATTAGAATCACTGGATTTCATTGTTGAACAAAGGAGCTTTCTTCTACTTCCACTAACAGCGCTTGGAGCTGAGCTTAACTCTTGGACATGTGCTTAGTTTTGTGAGTGAAGAGCATAATGGTTGCCTTTGAAAATTGATCTGAATTAAAAAAGTGTTTTTCTGAGGATTTTTGGTATGCTTTCAAGCTAAATCATTAATGAAATGATTGCAACATCACAGTCTCTGCAAACATCAGTTCTCTGGAAGAAATGTCCATTAGATACCCTCTAAATGTCATAGAGAGTTGCACTGTATTCTGTGGATTTCCGTATACATCTCCACTTACTAAAACAGTTTGACCTCAGAAGTTTCCATTGCAAACTTTTTTTACTGAGTACTTCCCATACCTGCTTGGCATAGGATGGTTCAAACCTTCAGTTGCAAAGAGCAAAAGTTACTGAGGTCATTGCAGCAGGGACCTACACCTCAGGTGGGAGAAGTGGAAAAGTGAAACACCTCCTCCTCAAAGGGAATCTCCAGCTCGATAAAAAGATGACCTTGCATTTCTATGGTTTCATGTCAAAAGAAATTGCTTCTCCCCAAAGTTAAGCATGAATCCTGCTCAGGTCTGCCTTGCTTTAGCCATAGGCATCTCCCTAGCTTCATCTGTGGTCCTGCCAGAAGGATGATTTGACAACAGAATAGGTCACAGCCTGTTTAAGCACAGAGATGCGTGGAGGATTTTGAAATAAAGATGAGGAAAATTTCTCCAGGTGAGGTTCCTCGCGTAGGAGATGGGCGGTACCTGTGAGCTCTGCACATCACAGCAGGTACATCTTTGGGTAAAACTGCTCCTATGCTCCATGCTCCTATCTCTCAGGTCAGGGAGGAAGGGTACATGTGGGAGAAAAAATTACGTATTTCTGCTGGTATTTATAACTTATTTGGGACTGTAGCATTGCATGAAGCTTTCATGCTACTTGTTGCTGTCGTATTCACATAAAATTTAAGAAAAGCATTTCCTGAAAAAAATGTCATCATTATGTTGACTCTGAGGGTGTTCCCTGTCAGCTCTGCAGTAATGGTATCTGGGTTGAGAAGGCCCTCAACTTCATCTCAGGCACTATTCCCAATAAAATCTTGGCCTTCGGCCTTGGAAGGTGTTCAGCTTGACATATAGCTATTACCTTATATCGAAGCACCTTTAAATTACCTTCTGTGTCCACAGCTGTAATTAGAAGCAGGCAGTGGCACTGAGCAGAGGCTTAGGGAATTAAGCCCCTGTAGATGAGCAGTCCAGAAGTTGGTGAGAGGAACAGAACTGATATCGCTAGTTCTCCTGACTTCTCTACTGCACGTGGGTTAATCTAATTTCTTAAAGTGATACTGCACTTGTCAAAAGCAGAAGGGAAATGTTAATGTTGCATGTTCATACTGTAGGCATTGTTGCAGTGCTGGACCAGGAAAAAGCATTCTTTTGAAGTGATTCAGTCTAGTGTGTGACCAAAATCAAAACAACAAAGTAGTTGTTACAACTGCCATAAACATCTGAGAGAAGGTATCTTGAAAACCTGCCTAGTATGTTCAGAACAGCTCAAGCTTTTCACGTTCCTGTCACCTTTTCTGTTGAAACTAATCTGCTCTTTTCATGAACAGAGGCTTCAGTGACTGGCACTCTTGGGAAGCAGAGTCACATTTACTTCGTACACCACTGCTGATTTTTATGGCAAACGGTTGAGTGGGAGAGATCAGCTGGAGAAATGTGCTTGTCTTCATTGTGCAGGGCAGTGATTTGAGGACATGATAGAAAGGAACCTGGGGAAGCAGGGACAGATGGACTGTAAATGGCTTTTCACCTGTGTGTATGATAGGAAAAGGCCAACCTGTGGCCCCATCTGCTTTTGTTTTGTCATTTGGAGTGCTAATGGAAAGACCTGGTAGTATGTTTTCTCACTTCTGAAAAGTCTGAACCAGAAGGTTTTAATTAGCATCTTTTTATATTTCTAACGGGTGTTTTATCTAATACATTTATTATCGAGTGTGTATCAAGCTTCCAGTATGGAAAACACTGCCAGATAAAACATTTTTTTTCTCCATTAAGTTTTCTCCATTAAGCATCCTGCTATAAACCTCTGACTCCCAAGGTGATCTTCCATGGGAAAACTAAGATTTGGGGAAGTTGTAACTTTTAAAAAAGTAATACTTATTCTCTTTACACAGTGGGAAGAAATCGGTGAGGTGGATGAAAACTACGCTCCGATACACACATACCAAGTATGCAAGGTAATGGAACAGAATCAGAACAACTGGCTTCTGACCAGCTGGATCTCTAATGAAGGGGCATCCCGCATCTTCATTGAACTCAAATTCACCCTGAGGGACTGTAACAGCCTTCCAGGAGGACTTGGGACTTGCAAAGAGACTTTTAATATGTACTACTTTGAGTCAGATGATGAAGATGGGAGGAACATCAGAGAGAATCAGTACATCAAAATAGATACCATTGCTGCTGATGAGAGCTTCACAGAGTTAGACCTCGGCGATAGAGTTATGAAGTTGAACACAGAAGTGAGAGATGTTGGGCCTCTAACGAAAAAAGGATTTTACCTTGCTTTCCAGGATGTGGGTGCCTGCATCGCCCTGGTCTCTGTGCGTGTGTACTATAAGAAATGCCCATCAGTGATCCGCAACCTGGCACGCTTTCCAGATACCATCACAGGAGCTGATTCCTCACAGCTGCTAGAAGTGTCAGGCGTCTGTGTCAACCACTCAGTGACTGATGAGGCACCAAAGATGCACTGCAGTGCTGAGGGAGAATGGCTGGTGCCCATCGGGAAGTGCTTGTGCAAGGCAGGGTACGAGGAGAAGAACAACACCTGCCAAGGTAAGGGTTTGCAGGGGGTCATTGTGCTGAATTGGCCAGGATGATGTTCAGTCTTGGCTTTTTTCTTTTCCATTTCCTTTCATCATGTCTGGTTGAGGTGACTGTGGCAGGTTGGGTTCCCTCTTCCACTGAGCTCCTTTGAATGGCTGTGGCAGGTGAAGAGGCCTTGGGTGGATATAGTGGGACCTCATATCTATGTACGTGTCTCTCCAGTGCTTTGAAATTTGTTTCCCATTTTGAGATGTTTTGTGTTTGTATTTAAAGGATGATTTTTTTCCTATTGCTCTTTGAGGTGGGGGCAGAGGTGGTGGAACATGGAAGGTTTGGTATTTTCTTCTCTGGTAAATAGTTTAATATAAAGCTGCTTAGAATTAAATGTGAAGTCCCACAGGCAAGAATGCTTCCATATATGCTCAAGTTTGCACATAAGCTTCTGAGTTTCTGTTCAGTACAGATCTGCTGAATCAGGGGCTTTGAGGAAGTGATCTAGGGTGTCTGAAGTTTAAAACTTAAATACTTTTTGAGAAGTGTAACATACAATGAGGTGGTACAGAAAGTATGGTGTTTTGTATTGAATATTTGTAAAATTTGTCCTTCTGTTGTAGATGTGTAACTGTTTAAAAGAAAACCTATTTTGGCGAGAAAGAGAAAAGTTTGGCACAGACTTGCTTATGCAAAACTTACTACTTCATCATCAGTTGCGTTTCCCATCTTCTTACCTTCTGCTTGTGGCCACTTAGAAGGAACCTGTGGAGAAGGCAGAAGGATTCTCTTCCAGCTGAAGACAGTGTTGTGTTTCCTCTTCACTTTGGTTCAGAAAACTATCTTTGGCATTTACTGTTGGTGCATAGGATGGATCTGTGCCTGCCTGAAGTGACCTGTGGCCATGATCCTGTAGTCCTGTAGTACGAGTCTGTTGTACTTCAGGTCTTCTCAAGAGTTAACTTATTGGTAAACTTCTTTTTTTTTAAAAAAAAAAACAAAAACTAGGAGAGTTTCTCTTTTCTGCAGTCAATATTGCAAAATGAGTTGTTTTGCTTTCACGTGCCAATAGGAGTATTTCTCCCGTGTGTGTGAAGATGTCTGACTTGCTGTTTGACACTGCACAGGGGACCAGAGATGAACACTGACCAGAGCTGAGGAAACATACACTGTTGCAGATGAAGGAGATGTGCCAAATATTTCGGCAAGAATTTGCCTCATTGTGGCAGAAACTAGTGCATCCTGAAGTAACATGCGCTGATTGGGTCCAATGTTTAGACACTGACTTGAATCACCTGTAACAATTTTTGTGGAGTAAGAGAGAGTACATTCATTAATTGCTACTCAAATCCTGGCCTCTCACTGTGCGTAATCAGCATGAGACATTTTAAGGTGATCTTAAAGGACTTAAAAGCCAATAAAAAAAAAAAAAAAGGCCTTGCTATGGTAAGACATACCCACATAAACTGCTCTTATACTTCTCTGACAGTCTGCATCCTCAGCAAAGGTCTCTTACTTTAATTACACTGGACTTGTTAGTCTATGGTTCTTATTTGTAGGAAAGCCTAAATTCCACCACCAGATCGATGAGATGTTGGGATCCCTCATCCTTATGGGTGATCTCAATCACCCAGATACCTGTTGGGAAAACAACATGACAAGCTGCAAGTGATCCAGGAGACTTCTGGAGTCCATTGACAATGACTTCCTGGTGTTGGGCAGACTGACCAGAGGTGAAGTGCTGTTGGACCTGGTTTTCTCCAGTGCAGAGGAGATTGTTAAGGGCATTAAGACTGGAGGCAGTCTGGGCTGCAGTGACCATGCCCTAGTAAAGTTCACGCTCTTGAGGAATGTAGGACTGGCAAAGAGTAGAGTTGGGACCCTGAACTTCAGCATAGTAAAGTTCAGGCTGCTTAAGGAATGGCTGGACAAGATCTCCTGGGAAGCTGTCCTTAGAGACAAAGAAGTGGAACTAAGCTAGCTACTCCTTAAGTATGCCTTTCTGAAAGCGTAAGGGCTCCCCATCCTTCAGAATAAGAAAGCAGGATGAGGAGGCAGGTAACTGACATGGTTTGGCAAGGACCTGCAGGTCAAACTGAGGGAGAAGGGCATATACAGGCAGTGGAAATGAGGACATGTCACCTGGGAAGAATATAGGGATGCTGTCTGAATATGCAGATGTGAGATTAGGAAAGCTAAGGCACAGATGGAACTGAACTTGACAAGGGATGTTAAAAACAACAAGAAGGGTTTCTATAGGTACATTGGTCAGAAAAGACAGACAAAAAAGAGCATAATTCCTCTGATAAACGAGAAAGGAAAACTGGCTGCAATAGGTATGGAGAAGTTTGAGGTACTCAAAGAATGCTTTGCCTTAGTTTTCACTGGCAGCCAGGATTTTCTTATTTCTCATGTCCCTGAACCTCATGGTGGGAACTAGGAAGGCAAACTTCCCCCACTGCAATGGTAGAACCAGTATAAGACCACCTTATGAGACTGAATGTGTACACACCTCTGGGACAAGGTAACTTGCATCCTAGAGTCCTAAGGAATCTGGCTGATGTGGTTGCCAAGCTGCTCTCCATCATATTTCAAAAGTTATGGCTGTCAGATGAAGCTACCAGTGACTGGCAAAGTCAGTTTGAGGGCATGTGGATGTCCTTTGTCTAACACAGGTCATGATGCCAAATGTCTCCTGCTGGTTGGCACACTAAGGTGTTCAGATGATAGAAGACATCAGCCTTAGGCTGTCCAGAATGTCTACGTTCAGTACATTCAGAGTACATGCTGATGTTGTTTGTGAGTAAAATGCTTTCTGGTTGGGGTGTTGCTATACTCACAAGGATGAGCTTTTTTATAGGAGAGTAAAGGAAATTTGCAGCCTGTTAGTAGGGTAAGTCACACTGAGGAAGATGCTATGTAAGTTTTGCTTTGATACTGGTGATTCTTTCACAGGCTGGCTCACATTTAAGAAATGCACACTATGCTCCTGGCTGGCATAATGATAGTCTGGGAAGTGTGTTTTGTACATCTGACAAATACCTAAGTAACTTCTTACCTTTGGTTTGTAAATCAATCGCAAGTGGTCTCCCCGTTTGCTTTCCTTTACCATTAAGGAGGTTATTGCTGACTATACTTCAGGAAATGTTTTCAACCCTGAAGAGCCTGGCTTTGTTTACTAAAATTTCTCATGCAAAGATGACATTTTCCAAGCTCTAGTGTCATGTCTGGACAAAGCAGACTACAGTCTAATAAGAGACGATGTAAATCCCAGTCACCTCACAGACATATGGGAACTATTGAAATCCCTTCTGCCTACAAATCATTAATTGGCAACGATGTTCTGAATTCATCATCTTGTCAGCAGGGTTCCTGTTTGAAGAAGGCACTGACAGTAACAGCTGAGCAATTTCTCTCACTGGGGACACTGAGGTTGTAAATATGACATGGCCTAATCTCCTTATATAATGTGCTCGCTCTCTCAATTAATAATGGCGACTAGGCAGTATTTACTGTAAAGAACCCAAACTACTCGTGTTTTACACCTCCTCTGGCAACTATCAACAACTATGAGACAACTAGAGATAAATTGTGACTGTTTTGGGACATGTTTATAAAGAACCCGGTTCTAAGGTTCGTTATTCACAAGAATAAATTGTGGTACTAGTTAACAATAAAAACTGAAAGCAATTGTTCTGAATTTCTATGCAGACTTACAGAGCAGTGATTTGGTGCAACTGAAGGAACCGTGGTGATTGGCTTTACCTTGGTTCACCTGAATGGATCCTTTATCAATGCTCCTGAGCATTTTTGCTAGCTTGAAAATGCCTGGTGGTGGTCTCCTCATTAGCGGGCAGTAGGTTCCCAAAGGCCAGATCCTAAAATGCTGTGAAACCAATGTGGTGCCACTGAAGTCTGTGAGATCTTCACCAACTTAGGGTTTTGGACAAAGAAATGTATCGCTCCCGCCTTTGTTTCCCTCTTTCTGCTTTGTCTGGGGCAAGTGTGGTTGTAAATTCAGGGTTAGTTGCTTACCATTTGGGATTTGTGTTTTCATCCTGAGTACAGCCCAATGTGTTCTTACCGAAAACCAACAAGTGCTTATTTTTATCCCTTTAAAGACTCTGTAGCCCATTGTCCTGGAAAGAAAGGGATGCTGACCCATTGATCAGGTGAGACCTAAATACTCAGCGTTTGGTGCAGCAGCGAGGTCCTGGTGATGATATGGAGCCACAGAGCTGTAACTGCAGATGTAATTAGTTAGCAGAGCCTGATATTTTTTCAGCTGCCTTTCAGAGCTGAATCACAAATGAATAAAATATTTGAGTTAAAAACAAACAAAAACACCAAAAAACCATAAACAACTGCATTGAAAGAGAGCCAAGCTGAAAAGGCAAGTACTGAGTTCAGGTGATCAGCAGGGTCTCCTTTCCAAGGATCAGTGGATAATGTTGCTTAAGGAGTCATCAAAGGCATGCAGCCAGTTCTAGCCAGCTGCAAAATGTGGGCAGTATTACAGATGTTGTAGAGAGGGACAAAATAATAAAGAAAAACTTCACCTAAGTTTTTCTTAACTGCTTTCTGAGGGAAGAGCTTTGAAACTGAGGAGTGGATAGGGATGGATCATGGTGTATAGCTTGCTTTCTCTAGAAAGGATCTGCTACCAGAGGAAATATTTGGATTATTTTTGTAAAACAGCTCTAGAAGATTCAAATTCTTCTTTCTTGAGTGTTGATATTTGTTGTTTGATTATTCTTTCTTTAATCAACTTTGCTGAATATCACTATGCTTTTACAACCAATATTTAATTTGGTGATTGTTCATTAATTGTGTTGAAGTTCAGCTACAGCTCTTGCCAAGACAAATAAGAATTTCCTACAGGAAACAAAGACTGCAGAAATGAATGTTACTGGCAGAAATGTTTTACTGTGGATGTAATTAAAATCAGTTGACAAGGGTTGCTAGCTCATGCAGATCAGAAGTTTCCCTGCCAAATTGATGTGCGAGTCATTTTGTTG